TTTAAATACTAGAACTCGTGGCCATAAGTGGAAATTAGTGGGAGAACATTTTAAAACAAATTTGAGGAAGCACTTCTTTACACAGCGTGTAGTTAGAGTATGGAACAGTAATCCTGCTAGTGTAGCGGAAGCTAAAACCCTGGGTTCCTTTAAATCAGAGCTAGATAAGATTTTAACAATTCTGAGCTATTAGTTAAGTTCTCCCCAAACAAGCTTGATGGGCCGAATGGCCCCCTCTCATTTTTAAATTTCTTATGTTCTTATGTGTTTAATATTTCTGCAATTGGTATTTAATATTGCACCCAATACTGATAATGTCTTGTGTTAACTTTGGTACACTGTCAGAAAAAAGGGTAGGGTTAGGGTTAGGGGCTGTACCCACAAGAGTCTGCCAATTGTACCCTAGCTATAGGAAAATGTACCTGTTAATCTAATTTAAGGTACAGAAATGGACTCTGAGAAACATCCCCAAGGTACAAACATTAATGTACTACCCTGAGTCGATTTCTATACCTTAAAAGGTACATATGTATGTATGTAAATATATGTATTAAATTCTATTAATATCTTACGAAGCACTGCTGATTGTTTAGTGAAAATATATTCTCAATGAACATTGATGGCTCAAATATGTCTGTGTGTGTGTGTGTGTGTGTGTGTGTGTGTGTGGTTGGGTGGATTAAGTTTTGTCATGAATCAGGGCAGATTTGCGGCAATGGCGTGGCATCATGCCGGCTGGGAAGGAGGTAGACGACCCACTTGCAGCTCACAGGACAAACAAGGTTTATTAACAAACAGAAAACAGTAGGAACACTGCAAAAACACAAAAAGGACCATGAGGGGTGAAAAGCAAAAGGGGATAGATGAAGACTAATTACAAATGAGTCAGGGCAATGGGGGGGGGGGGGCAGAACATACAGTATATCACATACTGTATATCATACATCAAACAATGAACTAGTATTAAGGGATTGAACTGAGAATGGGACTTAAATACTGAGGGGGAACAAGACTAACAGGGCAGGTGAGACTAATTAACGAGGTTTGGGAAAACAGCTAGGCCACGGGTCAAACTAATAAACTGGAACGTGTGTGTTTATTGTTTATAAGATATACTATCATTTTAAAGCCAATTTAAACTATACCTTAAAGGTTCGTTTATATCATCATCATTATTATTCTTAGATTATAAAAGCTCACAAAGGCAGGAACAAACAAGAGGGCAAGAATTATAAAGAAAGAATTTAAGAAAAATCAATACTACCAAGGGAAACGGCTGTTATCGTATGTAAAGCCGGGCTCAGCCACACGAATGAAATCCAATTCGCAATTGTGCCGAACTTTTAAATGTGGGCATTTCACAGAATCTTCCACAGTAGTAATCTAATAGGCAAATTGGTCAGTATTTCTTTCTCCTTAAATGTCATTATTTTATAACCGGCCAAGCTGGGCAATATCATATCATCAATATATTTGCTGCTTATTTTGCTTATTTCAAAACCTTGTTTTTTTATTTGAATGGATTCAATTTCTTTATGCATAGGCCCCTATATGGATAATTACAAAATTGGTTCTCTTTTAAAAAAAAATAAAAAATGGCACCGCAAACGCAATTATCTCCAAAAAAAAACTTCGGCACTTTTTTACGGTTTCATTTTGTTTATAACTCGTGCGCATCAGTACTGACTTACCTCCTGTTTTGAGTTATGTGTTTAAAATATCTTTTGTCCTATTTGCCCCTAATAGTAATAGCTTTATTCAATCCATGCCACTGTCTCTAATGCATTGCCACGCAATCGTTTGTTTACTGTCGTTATGGTTACCGACCTGCGCATGTGAAACTGTATTCATCGCAAATCAGCTCAAAAAAGATCTGCTAAAAAGTGAGGTCATATTTACCGTAAAAAATGAATCGTTCGGGTGAGGCTTTGGATAAAAACCCGCTTGGGAGGTGTCTTCTGGATAACTGGGTAGAGGAGGTATGTTGCAATACGCGCCGTATCGCGCTTCTAGTGGTTCACAGGGTGAGATTGCATTTGTTTTTCGTGCTAACTATAATAGACTGTGCAAAAGTAAGCTCTGTTTGAATTACTCCGGCCGGTGGGGCAAAATAAACAGTGGCATTACCCTAGTTGTCTCCTGACATAGTATCGCAAGTAGTTGAGTGTCGCTACGGAGGAAAAGCGAAACACAAGAGGGCTTAAGAGATCTAAATGTGGACCGAAATCACTGAGCATAACGTGCCCCTCGACAAGGCTAGAAATGCCTCAGTGTTAAAGGCTTATTAATCACGGAAGCGTGCGCATCAGTATATACACACTTTTTTTTCTTTTCTTTTTTTTTCTTCAAAGAGCTATAATGAGCAAGTTATGTTTGTTTGATAGTGTAAAGCACACTGGGTATTCCACTTCAATTAGATGTTTTACCTGTTCTAAATCTACATTTCTTTTCAGAGAGCCTCGGCTTTGCTAGACAAAACAAATGACAGAGCTCAGATTCACAGGCATGGACACAAAGGGATCCTCTCTGCAGATATGGCAGCCAAAGCCCAGGATATCACCACTATGAAGGCAGAGTTCACACACCCCACAGGCCTCCGGGTGAGACAGAGAGGTGAGCATACTATTTTGAAACTTCTATACTGTACACTGTGCACCCTGTGTCTGATCCTTCAAACACACCCATAGTGACCTTGAATAGTTCCAGAGATCACAGTTTGAACCAATTACCTGTTGAAATTTGTTTATCAGACATGAAAATGAAAAGGCTGGTTTTAAATCCAATATTATTGCCCTTACAGTACTTAAAAATGTACAATAGCAGGCTGATTAACAATTTATTTTTTGATAACTTTAATTGTAATGAAAGATGCATAGAAAAGTGCATCTTTTTACATAAATTCATGGTTTTGATTTTAGGAATCAGAGGGGAACTCTTTGAAAAACACCTCTACCGGACTATACGGTAGGTATTTTAAAATGAATACTTTATATATAAAATGATTATAACATGCATTTTGGATTCATATTAACCATATTTTAAAAGATATTGTCCACATACTGTTCTTATTTGAAACAGATTTGCAGTAAAGCATCTGATCTTTTCATAACCAAACTAATCTCATATACATTTCTAATGGGGGAGTTAAATTGGGCAGCAAATCTCTGACGGCCATCCTATGATCGTCAGTCCCTCGTTAGGAGACCTACCACCCTGCCCCGACATTCCCACATCTGCAGCCTTGTGCAGTCGCCCTGAACAGGCACAGAACATGGAGCCATTGGGATCGTTTGGGACAGTGAAGAAGCAAATATTACATTAGAGGGAGAAGGATTGGAAAATACTGTGAAAAATGTTGTATTTGACCATTAGCACAGCTTATTTACACATTAATGGGCAAATATTTGAAGTACAAAGACTACTGTGGTATGAAGGACGGTTAGGGCTGACACTGCTGCTGCCACACCATGAGTTAAGGAGCTGTGCTTCTGGTCAAACCCAAGAAACACAGATCTGCGTGGCTTCCTTTGTGGGCCGAGGTGGCGGGCTTTCAAACACAAGGCCCAGTGGCGGAAAGGAGCCTGGAAAGGAGACCGCGGACACTTAACTTCACCTGAGGCTATACAAGGTACCTAGATGTGTTACTTCACTCGGAGTTGGGGAAATCACAGCTGGTGTTGCTGAAAAGTAGATGTGCCTGAGCTGTAGGTTAGAGATTCGAGCAGACAGGTACCTGAAGAAAAGACTGAAGACCGCTGTCGTGGAAATTCTGGTTTTGGAATCCACTGTTTCATGTTAGCTTACTGGTGCACCATTTTTCACAGTGAAACTAGTCTGTCAATGGTGGTGTCAGCAGCAAGATGTCAGGGATTCCACCGGTCACTCAAGTATGAGAATCTGTGCACCTTAATGCAGCTTTTAGCTTAAGGGGTGCAGCACCTGCCGGCAGGAGAGCAGTAATCTGGCTTAGCCTTAGAGCCCCTGAGCAGCCGTCAGCCAGACACACACACTGTATCTACAGCAGCCCCCCCCCCCCCATCCGCAGTTTCAGTTATCAGCAGTTCATCGCCATCTGAAAAAATTGTAAATTGTTCCTTTGTCCTTTGAGGGATATAAGAAACATGGTTTTCATTGCTCCATCATTCCTTATACACATTTTTTCATTGCTCTGTCGCCATTTATGAATCAGGCCAAAACATCTGAATCCCTTTCATTCATTCAAGAGTACAGTCCTGTATAATGTTCTTTATTATTGCTGCATGTGATGTTGGTAATGTCTTACTGTGCATAAGTTATCAATTACCATATGTAAGTACATGAAAATCGTGTATATGGGGTCTGCGGATGGTTCACTATTATCTGTGATTTTGGCTATCTGCAGTAGATCTTGGACCATATTAGCTATGGATATTGGGTAACTCCTGTGTATCTTTGCTGGGACTCTCCATTCATCTTTATGGGCATAACCCTAATCCCTCCACAATGTTTCACAGACACAAGCTATGGGAACACCATACTCCACCGCAAATACAAGCTACTCTATGGGAAAGAATCAAAAAGAAAGCACCAAAATTAGGTTAAGAAATAGTCTAAGCCACCCAACAGCTCATCATCTTCTGCCCTAAACTGGCCTAAAACACTATTTAAGTGACACGACTAACACATAAAAGTTAAGAATTTTTAAAATCAAACACTACCTTGCCTAAATGGCAAGACCATCCTCTGGGGATCACTTTAAAGAGCCACAAACAGGCTGGCAAGAAAATGAAACTGTGACAGAAATATGCCCATGCAACCAAGGAACAACAAAAAGCAACACTGCTCAGTTACGAGCTGCATCCTTATTCCAAAAATAAGCACTTCACTGCAGTGAAGTCAGCCAAAGCACTTCACTGCATCAAACTCATTCATGCCTGTGTTTGACAAAGCTGCAGTTCCTTTTAAACCATCCAACCTGGGCATTCCAGCTCTTTCCCAAACTACTCACAGGTACAGCCACTAAATCCAAAATTAATGGTCTCTCAGCAGACCAACGAGGCAATCTGTGCCTCGCTGTAATAAGTCAAAGTGACCCCCACCACAAGCTTTTCACATTCAATTTTTGCTATGTTACGATCAAGGTCAACAAAAGAATTTTGCAAAGTCATGAGTCGTCGAGCTGCAACAAGGCCAGACGGGGTTTCTCGTATGGTTCATTCCAGGTCTTGGTAGCAACCGAGATTCAGGTCTTATTTACTTCTGCTTATTTGCATGTATCAAACGAGAAAGGGAACCTTTTTTTTCATTGTCAGGACATTATTTTTGCCGTTTGTAATATGAATATTGATGCAAGTCTCAAATTAATAGATGGATACTTGTATTGCACTGGTAATGGGGTAAATACCTCAAAGGTTATTTAATTGCAAAATTATTCTCTTGTATGCATTACCGACAACCAGAAATCCAATTAGTATACCTCTCACACACACACACACACACACACCACTTGATAAGCACCAGCTTAACGTTTGCCAATTTCTTTTTGGGGTTTAATGAACAGCAAAATCCAGGCAAAGGACCTGTTTAGGCCTGTAGCAGGTCGTCGCCTTTGCGCTCTGTTTCTGATGCTCCGCTCTCATACCCAGTGAACAGGTACTCAAGGAGCAGAGCCCCCCGGTTCCTTCAGCAGAGCTTGTCTCCACGACGAAAGATGACTTTGGAGCAGAAGGATTTAAACCCACTTTCCCGGATCCTTCTTGGGTAAGTGACCATTACCAAAATATTACAGGAACACTAGTAGGTTGTTTTACTTAATTTATAGGTCCATTATGAAAATGGTTATTTCTATGTGTATGTATTGCATGTATAAATGTATGTGTGGGTGCGTGAATGATTATGCCATATGTAATTAATACACATGTAACTCCTAAAAGGTTTTCACCACTACTGTTTTTTTCACATTTTTGCTTTATTGCGGAAAATGACTTTTTTCAAAATGTTTGCAGTCCAAATTGTTTATGCTATAAGGAACAAATCACTATTGAATCACTGAGCGAACTGAAATAACGCTCACATATGTAGTATACACAATATATTTCATGATTACTTAAAAATATACTTGACAGAATATAATGAATAGAAGATTCAATAATTAGTACAGATTAATGTGTTACAGTGTGGTTTATGGTTATTGTAAAATCCTGCAGTACAAGTTAATTTGCTGAATTCCTCTTGATTTTGTTTAATAGGAACATAACTATAGAAGTGAGCAAGCAATAACTTTTTGGAGCGAGAATCATAAGAAAATACAGGTAATTTTGACATTTCTCAACTGTATGTTACCATCATGTGTAAACAAAATGAACAAATTCCATTCAATGAACCAACCTGATAGCAGATTGACAAATCACTTTTACTAGACTTTTTTTTTTTTTCCTGCTTACAATAATGTTTTACACTTCACTCCAATTGCAGTTGTAGCTTTTCTGCAGTGAAGAACAAGAGTGGCTTTTATAATTTTTATTATTAATTTAGTCTCTTATCATTTTACATAGTGTATCGTACAACTGAATACTTAATTTTATTTTTCCAGGTTGTGACTTTATGTGGGAATGAGGGGTTTTATATGACACAGGTATATAAAGACTAATTAAAGGAGACATTCTTAAATTGTCTAAACAAACACAAAAGGATTTGTATACATACACTTACTACTGGTCACTCACTGGAAGCTCATCCTAGTTGCACTTATGCCTAGTCGACTCCTTCATCACTTTGGGCAATAGCGTCTGCTAAATAAATAAGACGTAAATGAACACGCAAAATAGAAAATAGCTATCATTAATGCCTTATTTATGCCGCAGCATCTGTAGCTACAGTAAAAATAAATAAATAAAATAAAAAAATCAATATTTATATAATATACGCATTCATTTGTTAATTTAAAAACAGATGTCATTTAGTTTATATGTTTAATTTATCCATGTAACTTTCAGGTATAGACCCATGAATTTTAATCCCAGATTGTTTATTAGCGCTGCAGTCAAAGTTTGCGGTCTGCCGAGTCCGTGAGCCGCGTGGCAAATTGGGAACGGACCGCCTGGCTGTCGGTTACTTGGTTAATTATCGTGTTATTAAAAAGAAACGTTATCACGGCGCTCTTTGTAGCGTGACATGAAACGTCTTCGACGGTCCTTTTGCATTTCGTACTCTGTCGTTATCTTTGGCTTTGTGTCACGCTTCAGGTACCATTTCATTTTTATTTATTTAAATATTCAGAAAAGAGCATTGAACTCACATCAGTCAGGACAAGCCCAACTCATTACGCTTTTTCTGTGTTGCGTTATCGGCTTAAATTAAATTTTTCCTCAGAGAAAGACTTTAAATTGTTCAGCATGTACAAGTCTTTCTAAGGCGTTAGAGGACTGGTTTGCACCTTAACAAGTAATTGGTCATAGTAAAGCAAAACATCCAAAGCTCATCTTAAAAATTAAATTCAAATATTTATGGAGTTCAGCTGGTTGTATCTTCATTGGACAGTAGCTAAAATACGTACAACCAAAAAACCAATAAAATACACCCTAGAAAATTATTATCCAGATGTTATTTGTTTTCTGCAGTCTGTGCTGTCTAACCACACAAGCATTATATGCCAGATGTGGCTGTAGGATGCCCTTATTCCAACCAAAGTTTTCATAAAATTGTCTGGAGGCTAAAATAATTAAATTGAATGAAATATATAAAAGTTCAATTTGAATTTGTATTTGAGTACAGAAGCAGCACTTATAAGTGGACATTGAACTTTATCTCAATTAAACCAAGCTCTAAAATGATTATATCCTGTTTTGGTTTCTTTGAATATGCAGTATAGCCCTTGAAGCAGATTAACAAACAGGATTGCTTCATTGTGAAATGTCACGGTCCAGACACTTAACGGCGTCCTCATTTTTGCGGGCGGTGATTGTTCTGTCATAATAGGCTCTCTGTAAAACAAATATCTACTGACTGTGTACAGTTTCTGGGAGGTACGATGAGACAAAGGGTGTGCTAGCCCTGGGGAGTCATATGTCTGTGTATTTAGGAGCAAGGAACATGTATAGATGTGATGTGTGTTTAGTTAAATAAGCAAGTGACAGCCAGTACCCCCACATAAGCCCAGAACGTTCTTTTTTGAGGAAATACAGCAAATTAATTTATGATTATATACTATGAAAATTTGCAATTATGCATCTTTCAATTATTTAATTTTATTACCCCATCACAGTGCTGAATGCATGTCTAAAGATGTCGATTTGACAACTTCAGTGGACAGAGGCATGAATCTGATATTAAATATGATGTTTGGCTAGTCAGTGCAAGCAGGAAAGTATAAATACAGCAGTATGTTGCATGTAGAAATACTGGCCCTGCTGCACTGTACCATGTTAACAGTTCCTGGGGGTGACTGCAGTTATGCTGTCTTTATGTTGCATAAGTGTAACTGTGTTGCCCACACAAGGCCACAAGGACATGCCACTGGGCCATCCCACCAGACAGGGAGGGCGTCATTTGTTAGAAACTTCAAAAGCCATAAATATCTGCTCAGAAATTCATCGCCAGCACTCCTCACAGCAGCAGGCCTGCACTGGTATTTCTTGCGAGCATGGATTCCTCCTTACCAGCGTGTTTGTGACTATGCTCTGGCATTCATACTCCATGGTAAAACCCCATGATTTGCCACAGTGCGGCTCTTATTCTCAGACTCGCATGTTCTCTCTCTTTCTGTTGACCTTTTCCTTCTTTTTGAAAACTGCTGCATTCAGGACCGTTTCTTGTAGCAACTGGTGTAGCCGTTGACTTTGAAGCACACGCGATGCTAACTGTGTCGCTGGCTCATAATCCTAGATATCAGGCACAACGCGGTCGTACATAGATGAAGAGAGGCCTGCTGGGAAGGGCCGGCTTCACGTGCACGTCCAGTGACCCTTAGCTGTCTTACCTACAGTATCACTCTCCATGCTCATATTCAAACTTCTCCTTTGCTATTCCTGTAACGCCTAGCACGCACACGCAGGGCACCCCACGGGTAATTTTTGGTCATGAGAGCAGCATGTAAGCAGAGTGATCTTTGTGGGTTCATGTATGCACCTATCCAGGGTGTTTTTAAGGATTAGATTTAAAATATGTTTGTTGTGTTGTTCGTCTTATTGGTCCTGGCTTGATGTTAAATGTGTTCTTTTTCAGGGTGTCACCCCCGTGAGAAGCAAAGACACTCCATTTAAGAAAAACTGTAACTTCAGCACACCAATCAGTGCATGCCTTGATGACGATGAAAAGAACCATCATCTGTGAGGGCTTGAGACATTCGGGGTCGAGTGAATGATTTCAAGGGTGGTACAGACTGTTTCAAAATGAGCATGTCGATGTCAATTGCGCATCAGATTGTGAAGCGTTCCCAAATTGTGACACGATCTAAATCCCATTCCTAACTGTCATGATAACTTGTGATGATCTGTCTGGTGGGTTGTCCTGCATGTCACTCATGAAGATGCTGTGGGATGAACTGGATATGACCGGATATGAATCATCCCACCACGGCATGGGCACATGGCAGGTCTCAGCAGTGCTTTATCCTCCTGAGACCCAAGGAAAAAAGTGTCCTTCAATTATAGGTTATTTGTCTTTGGAGGAAATAAGACATCTTACAATTTAGATTTTTTCAAATTTATTTTTATTTTTAATTTCACAGCATGTCCTCTTTAGTGTACAACAGGTATGTTTCCTTACATCAGTGAAAAGATAGATGCAAAAACAACATGTCCACTACAATGGACATAAATGAATGGGTGGGGTCTCAGGAGGATATAATGATGTATATCACCAAAACTAATGTTACTGTTGTACAATGAGGAGATTCTGCTAGGCTATTGGCTTCAAGCCTAGTCTAACTACAAGAATGAATATCAGTCCTCTGCTCTACAAAATGTTCTTACCTTTCTTTGGTCACATGGTCACCACACAGTGCCAGTCACCCCATTACGTGATGTAGGTGAGCGACATCTTCTGAGGAGGTGCAGACATAGCAAACCAATGACCCATGGAGAGCTCCATGGACAGCAGTGTGAAAAGTCAGTCAAAGAGATCACTCAAATTTATCTAAGAGCCTATCATAAGATGCTGAGGAGTTTGCAAGTTCTGGTGATGACTATCTTAGAGGAGACACCTTTATTTGGACTGAAGACAAAGCCCACGAAGTGAGACAGGCCACAGTAACCAGTAAAAATTAGTGGTGGAAGAGGGGTGGGAAGCTGTTGGTAAAATCCAACTGACAAAAACCTTGGAAGAAAATCAGACACCCTGGGGCATTCAGGCCCATTTTACCTGAAGGCACGTTCTAGACAAGGGTGCAGTTGGAGACTTCCACAGGATTGGAACCCGGTCCGTGTCAAATGTATGGAGACAATGCAGCAGTAATAAAGTACACTATAAATAGATAGAAAGAGTAATGTGGCCAAATTATTTGATAGGGAAAAGGCCATACCTCACTGGAAACCAGCAGAACTGGTTACCAGCCTTCTTGATCCTTTTTAAGACATTAGTAACTGTCAAGGTCCTATTTTAAAATGTGACAAGTTTAATGCATCATCACAGAAAAGGAAGATTTGGGAGGTCGGATGGGGATGCTGCCCGTTTGCAGTGTTTTTCCGGTTGCCATGGTTTCATCATGAGGCAGACAGTCGGCCTGAGTCAGTGCGTAACGGCTCACTGATTGGCATCTGGGGGAAACCTGTGGATAGTTTGTTTGGCCTCTGAGGCCCCCAAACTCCGCTGTGCCAGTGGTACAGAGGCCGTGGTCAAATACCTCACTATAACACTATGACTTCCTAATAGCACTTCTTATCCAAGAGCTTTACAGTCGTCATCGTGTTCTTCCACCACAGAGAACAATTTCATTTGGGCAGAACACACTGGAATTGTGAGTAATTATAGTTTATTATAGCTTTTTATAGTTGGTTGACACAATTTTGAAAGTGTCATTTTTAGGATGACTGGTACTGACTGGTTATTAGAACAATATAAAGTTTGGTTAGGATGGCTGAAGAAAATTCTGTAGGTGAAAGACCATTATTACTGCAAATAGCAATGATTATCTCAAACTTGGCTGGCAGTCTGTCAAGTTAAGTAAAGCAATGTCATCTCACCCATGTACAGAGTACAGGAAAATGAAATTACACTCTTCCTGAACCCTTGGTGCAAAATTAATGACGGGACAGACGTTACAGTGCTAAAGTCAGAGTTATGGAATCATTTACATAGTGCAAAAATAATCCTGTACAATTATTAATAATTTAAGGGGAGGGGAGACAGAGAGAAGGCTGGCACTGAATGCAGCATAACATAACTTAACATATCAAACATAACGTGATGTAACATGAAACCAGAGGTGGAAAGTTCAGGTTCAGAAAGTACAAATCCAGACCAAGATTTTGTTTCAATCAACCCGTTGAGTACTCTGTGAATGTGACTCAGCTGTTTGGTTGAAATAAAATGTTGGTCTGGATTTGTACTTTCTGAACCTAAACTTTCCAACTGCATAAAACAAACATAATGTAACATAACAACAAGCAAAACAAAACAAACATTTCCACATTAGACAAACGATAAACAGACACACTACAGACACTGGGAAATTAGTGTATGGAAATGCTATCCATGCTTAATGAGTCACTAGCTCCACCCCTCACCAAGTTTTTACACACCAGGTAAGTACAGAATGCATCTTTCTGACATTTATCCCAGCAAACAATATAACTATAAATACTCTCATGTAATGAGTTTACTTCTGCATTGTGCTTATTTTATTAAAGAAATCAGGAAGGCTGATGGAGATTGATTCTAAAATGAGGATGTTTACTTGTCACATGCCTGTGCAAAGTACACAAAGTACATAAACAGATGCTGTAAGTTACGTGGACTCCTCAGTGGCACCTCCTGCCACCACAGCATGAGCACAGAGCTGTGCCTGGTCTTGATAAAAAAAGAAGTTACAGAAGATATACACTCACCTAAAGGATTATTAGGAACACCTGTTCAATTTCTCATTAATGCAATTATCTAATCAACCAATCACATGGCAGTTGCTTCAATGCATTTAGGGGTGTGGTCCTGGTCAAGACAATCTCCTGAACTCCAAACTGAATGTCAGAATGGGAAAGAAAGGTGATTTAAGCAATTTTGAGCGTGGCATGGTTGTTGGTGCCAGACGGGCCGGTCTGAGTATTTCACAATCTGCTCAGTTACTGGGATTTTCACGCACAACCATTTCTAGGGTTTACGAAGAATGGTGTGCAAAGGGAAAAACATCCAGTATGCGGCAGTTCTGTGGGCGAAAATGCCTTGTTGATGCTAGAGGTCAGAGGAGAATGGGCCGACTGATTCAAGCCAATAGAAGAGCAACTTTGACTGAAATAACCACTCGTTACAACCGAGGTATGCAGCAAAGCATTTGTGAAGCCACAACACGCACAACCTTGAGGCGGATTGGCTACAACAGCAGAAGACCCCACCGGGTACCACTCATCTCCACTACAAATAGGAAAAAGAGGCTACAATTTGCACGAGCTCACCAAAATTGGACAGTTGAAGACTGGAGTTCTGAAGGCGAAAGGGGGTCAAACACCGTATTAGTATGGTGTTCCTAATAATCCTTTAGGTGAGTGTATATATAAAGTAACAAAGGAAAATAAATGTGTTTCTACCCTCAAGTAATACATTAAATTGAAGTAAAATCAAACATATTAAACACTAAATGTTGATAACATACCTGCAGAGTACACAAAGTACATAAACAGATGCCGTTACGCAGGATCTTCAGTGGCACCTTTTAAACATAGTACATAGTACATCCTCATTACAACATATACTTTGTACTCTTTACAGATAGATAAATACTGGATTACAATAAAACAAAACAGAATTTAATAATACCTAACTACCAATTTTCCATCAACAAATACTTGACTACAAGAAGCCAAACATAGCCAATTCATACAAAAAATTCACTTCAATTCACATTTACTCATTACATATTACAAACTCAACTCAATTCCCAACCATGCTGAGCTTACACATCAAACCATTGCAATAATACTTTTCTTAAATTGGGTCAATAAAGTATGCTAAAGCTGCCCAATAGTTTTATAATTAACCACACATTCGTATTTACTACAAAAAAAAATAACATTGGACCTAACCGATACATATCTCCTACTACCGCAGCATGAGCAAAACATTACGATAAAGATGGAGACACTGGATAGTGTGCCCTCCTACGATCAGTCCATTCCAACTACATAGCGCTGAGGCTGTGAAGGTCACTTTCAATCATGGTGTATAGTAAACATGCCCACGCCTATTTCAGAGAAGGATTTAACGTAACGTGGATTCTACTGAATTTGTATGTTTACTATCCACTTCCTTGATTGAGCCCCCCCCCCTTCCCCCAGCATACATAGCTCTCTCCACAGGTGCACGTCAAACCAAAACGCACAGTTCCCTAATGACATAGCTGAATAATCTAATGTAATAACATTACTTTGGTATTCTTGGCCTCTGGTGTGTCCCCCCCCCCCTGCAAATCGATGAATTCTACATAAGAAAGAAAAGCCACACCCCTGTGCCGTCCCGGCTGTCTAAAGCGCTCAGGGTACTCTGGGGGCCACCGGAGGGACAGAGTCGCACGCAGCTGTAGGCACATAGTATAACAGCAGAGCAGCCAGAAAGGAGATTCATGAAATGGGTGCTTTCAAACATGTTTTTTAAAAAGGTGGCAAAAACTCCCCAGTCCAAAGGCTACAGAACAGCTACGATCCATTATCTCAGCCTTTTTTGTTGGTTCATTTAGCCGCGACCTCCCCTCGCCAATCTGCCGGCTTTTCATCCCGCATTTCTCATTAACTGGGCACCTCTTCCTCACCCTCACCAGGCAGAATCTCCATCTCATGGGAGAAAGCGCTTTTCACTCACACTCCAGTACGCCCACGAGGACACGCTGCATTCTTCCGCCGTGTGTAAATCAGAGCGCAATGGCCAGGGGAAGCTGCCGATGATGAAGATTATATCACGGTTTTTTTCCAGCTTTACATCGTCATTTAAAACTGCTCTTTCATGCATATATAACATAAAACAAAGAAACAGGAAAATAAGAAAGTATTTTGCACAGTTGTTTACTGAAGAGGAGACAACACAAATAGCTTATGCCGTTAGACTTTTCTACATAGTCTAGTGTTAGCTTAGCTGAGGCTAAAGTACAACAAGCTTTCCCAAACAAATTCTTGAGTGCTAATGATATTTTCCTACTGTAAGTTGTTCATTATAAGCATATAGCTGTATTCCAAAAATATTTAGAGATGAATATAGTGCCTGCATGAAATAACTAATGCAGCCTTATTTAAGAAGGATACATGGTCGCAGCATCCCTGCTAACACAAAACATACCTAGAACTTTAGCCAAAATTATGTGAAGATCTTCTCAAAGATAATGGAACGTTATTTCAGCATTTTATATTTAAACAAAGGTTCTGTCAATGTCAGCATGATCAAATTATTACTTGAACATCCTTTTAACACAATTAATGTTGAGAAATATTGTTTTAAAATAAAGTATTATTTTATTGAAGTACTATATGTGTATACTTACTATATTACCAATGCACCGTCCAGCCTATGTCATTTAGCTTGAACAGTGA